ACAGCACATCTCCTCTCTGTGTTCTCTGACATCTGCTGCATTTTATTGAATTTCACTGCTCATTTAATCCCTCTGTTTTTGTTGTTCATTTTTAATAATTTGGTATAATAGACTGGACGAGAGCTGTGCGACCATGGTAAATTGTATTGTCAAAATGCAGGATGTATTACAAGTGTTCATTAAGAGCCCTCATTAACAACCAGGACTAATGGAAAGAAGAAGTTATGATTTGCTGTTCTTATTACCATACTATAATAAAATTTTACTTGCTATACCCCCGAATGCAGTTTCAAGTAAGTGCACAGGATTCCTCTTATGTTTTATGTTTTATACCGTTTGTGTAGAGTGTGATTTTTATTTTATTTTTTTGCATTTTCTTTCTTTTTTTTATTTTATTAATTTTGTTGTTTATTTATTTCATTCATTAAGGATAAAAAGACATTAACAGTGTCACAACATCACCATACAAGAAATGAATGAAAAGAAGCAGAAAAAAGAGTCATCTTATGTTATCTGCCCCCTTTTCCCTTTTTCCAGACAATACATCAACACAGATAGTTACTAAACATTCCAAATCAGTACATTTCAGTTCAGTTCAATTATTAATCAACTGCAAACAGAAATCTTCACTATTATGCACAACAACTTAGTTTTCTTTTTCATACATACACATTGCATTCGATTTTATGTATTTTTAAAATGTCATTATTGTATTTGATTTTTTTTATATCTTTGTCAAGACTCCTTTCACAGCGATGCTTCGCTCCATAACCTTGGTTCTGAAGCTGTTTTTTTTTTTTACATGTAGGTTCCTTTTACATTGTAGTGGCTTGTTCTTATCTCAAACAGACTTTGAATACCTTTACAGGTAATACATTGCACTTTACTTTATACAGGATTTTGAGGATACTTAATTCAACACTTTAAGTTGAACAAACAATTGGTTGGATGGCTCTCTACAATGACTGTTGGTGATAATTCTCAAGGCCCTTTTCTGTAAAATAAAGTTTGTAAGCAAGTTTTACATGTTGACCCCCAAATTTCTACACAGTAATCAAATGTTGGAGCCAGTTTATATTTATTTAAGAAGTTATTAATTTGATACATTTTATATAAAAGTAAACTGCATTTTTCTTTATTATAGAATTTTTTATAGGTCATCCTGATCTCCTCTCCTCTCCTCCTGCAATCAGGTATATCTAGCCACCTGTAGGAGCAGGGCAGGGGAAGGCAGTGCCCATGGAGAGTGAAGAGGAAAAGACACCATTTTGTGACTACACATGTTATATCAAAAGAAAAGTCAACCACGGAGAATATTATTATCTTCTTTGTTTTTTTTAAATAAATGGATAAACGGATCTGGATCTCCGCGAGTGCTTTTTTTTTTTTTTACGTGAGTTACAAACCTCCTCAAACAAAAGGGGCACAACATCAGATATGCCGTTATTTCTGCTGGACTTTCCTGCTGGACTTTTCTCGTGGATATTTGAGAAGTGTTACCACAATATCGTTATTGCAAATGAGAAGATGTCCTTAAATGTCTTACCTGGGAGAATTAGAAATGAAGAAAAATATTAACATGAACATTTTCCATTAACTGTCTTTCTCTACATGTATACTGGGCTCGCTATATGATGTACAATAAAAATCCATAAATCTTAAACTATATGTTAAAGTAGATGCACCTTTATATTCTTCATTCTGGACTTTAATGGATAATGCTATATCACAATGTGTTGAGCCTTCATGTCTCCAGGTCACATACGGTAAATGTCACCAACTCCCTTTTCAACTTTTGGGCTACTGGAATTATTTCAGCATTAAAAATATAAATGATACATAGCTTGGTGGTGTGGTAAAAATGGTATTCCAACTCCAGCTATTCACATTTTTGTGATGGTTGGAAACAGAGTGGTCAGAGCTATAGGAGGAATTTTGAGGACATTTTACTATTCAGCAGATATGTCGTACAATAAAATGTTATATATATGTTAACGCAGATGAACCTTTATATTCTTCCTTTGTTATTACCTGGACTGAGTAGTTGTATCAGAGATCACAAGGATCACACTGAGCATCACAGTGTATTGATTTTATCTCCAGAATCTGAATGTCTCTAATTTAAGTGTCAGGGGGCTGGCTGCAGTGATGGCCTGCAGCTCGCCCACTGGAATGTAAATCAGTTTGGGGAGGACAGTCTTTGCTCAGGTCACTCAATATCTGACATTTGGCTAAAACGCTTGACTACAAGTTGTAGTGTAACATCCTCTTCTCTAAGGCCATGTCACCATCAATTCACCTCAAGAGTCATGATTGTCTAGTTTAACCTTTGATAGAGGTCAAAGGGCATTTGTCCATTGTTGATGAGCCAGTCAGGAATTTAAGATGAATTTTTGGCTGACATTGTAAATATATGCCCCAAAGCACAAGCAAAAGTAACTAGAATGGGGAACAAATCCTGGAAATGGGTGTATGCTAGACAGTGACAAAGAGGAATGTGCACAATGTGTCGGGGTAAAAAGTCAAGTTAAATCATCCATTGGAGTAAATGTAAATAGTTCTAAACTCAGCAGACAGCTAAATGGGACAGTCCTGGCAATGTTTAAAGTGTGAAGATCAATGAAGGGTACTCATATCAACAAAGTAAAGCACTTACTGAAAAAGAAGCTTGTTTTTAACCTTGGTTTGGAAGAAGCTCACTAATAGTTAAGTTTTTCCCATCACAATAATAACTTGTTTTTGATGTTTTATCAAATTATTAGAAAATTAAATAAATTATTCTCTTTGCTCCCTTTACCCTTCATGTTTCATAAACTGATGCACAATCCACTTGGCGAGAGTTGCTCTTATTTTTGTACTAAACATAATCCCAGGTTATAATACTCCCTACAGTGGCCACTTCAGTGGACTTTAATGGACAATGCTATATCACGATGTGTTGAGCATTCATGTCTCCAGGTCTCAAATGGTAAATATCACCTAGTCTCGTTTCAACTCTTGGGCTGCTAGAATTATTTCAACATTAACGTATTAAAGTATTAAAGTAGTTTGGTGGTGTGGTAAAATGGTGTTCCAACTATTTACCTTTTTATGATAACTGGAAACTAACAGTGGTCAGGGTTATAGGAGGAATTTTGAGGACATTTTACCATTCAAAAGATATATTTTATTTTAACTTGATTGTTACTATGGCAACAGTCCTAATTCTTTGGTAATTCCAAAATGCATGGATATAGGAAGATCGGGCTGAGTATTCTTTGAAACCCACCATCACCAGTATTTGGTTTGAATTGAGAAAGATCAAAACATTACCTGCATTATGAACAGATGTGCCAGGAGCTGAAGCCTCGATCTCACTATGTGTGACGAATGACTGAATTTCACCCTGAGGTCAAAGTTCAAGTCATATCCCTTTACCCGAGCTTTGCGTTAGACACAGATGCATGGTGTCAGATCCTGTGTCTTGGGAGGTTCCTGTAGGACTTCCCTGTGGAGCTGGGATCACACAAAACCAGTCTGCGTGAACCATGACCCCACTGCTGAGACTACAGAGAAAAACCCTAGTGTTCATGCAGCTCTTATTATGCAGAGGTGGACCGAAATATTCAAAATAAAATACTCATGTTACTGTAAGTAGTGATATTTTTGCATACTTGTTTTTGTGTAAATGTGTACTTGTATCTGAGTAAAATTTTAACCATGAATTGTAATCTGAAATCATAGGAGTTACTTCACTTAAGCACACTATTATCCATGTAACTGTACTCTTACGAAGTTGTGTACTCTTTTACTTGGGTTTAACATAAAATTGATGCTGATATATATGCAAATATACACATTAAGTTCAAATATATTTTATCAAACACCAGTAAGAAAACTATCATTGTGAAATATGGATAGATATGATTTAAAAAGTAGTTTAGGTCATTAGATGTTATGAGGATGTCAGGACCTGTGCTAAATACTCACCAACAGCAGAACATCTTATGTAACTTGTTACAGTAATAACCTGCGTTTCCTCGTGGCTCTTTTACTGATAGTACTCAACAGAATCCTATAGAGACATGAATCTGAGGAAACCGCCCTCTATTCATCACAGTGCAGAGGCAGTATAGAGAGACTCTGTCAGCCATTACTTTAACTGGGCCTTGTCCAAACATCATGGTGTTTTATATGCTTCCTGAGGTCAAAGGTTAACACCACTAATCACAAAATAAATCAGCACCTGAAAGCATTCTGTCATCAGCATGCAACTGTTTGATTTGCTCTAATTCATGGTAAAAAGACCAGTTGTAACTCATTTTGATGTATATGTTTCATAGAGTGATGGTACTTAGCATTTAGAGCACCTATAGGTCACAAAGAGAGTATCCAGATCACCAGACAAACCTTTTTTGCCTTAGTTTGAAATACATTTATACAATGTAGGTAAACAAAAAATTTTGGTAATGGGGAAAAAAAGTGTTTTTAGACTTCCAGCTAGTACTTAGTATTTTAAAGTTTTAGTACATTTATGTTGCATATCTGATCCTTTAGTCTCCTAACCCTGTTTGTTTTGTTTAAAGTGTTTCTCTGGGAAGTAGATGCAGTTTTTAACCTTAGGAAATCAAACTTTCTTATCAGCTCCGATGTGAATCGCATACAAAGAGCTTCCCTCTTAAACCTGGCAGAGCACTCTAAATGGAAAAGGATTAGCTGCACAGAGAACAAGGCCTATGGCTATACATGTAAATGGATCATGGTTTTTCCAAAGCAGAAAAGTTTTGGATTCTTGATTATGAGGCTATAAAATTGATAAATATTAATGCAAATGTGCAGACACAATGATGCAGACATATTTCAAACTAATTGTGGGTCATGGAAAATCACATCAACTCAAAAGACTTTTCAGATGTTTAAGCATGAAGCATAGGCCCATATGGGGACAAACAGGTTAATGAGTTGAACCCACTAATCATGCAGATGAATGGTGCCAATTAGCTGAGTGAATGCTCTGCAGTGCTCTCAGGCTGAAAGTAATCTCACTCAGAGTACAGATTGATTAGCTCAGCATTAACATGAGGCTGTCTCTGGGCTGTGTGGTGGACATCTTGGTATTACTTTTGCATTGGTCTGCTTACCTGTCGACTACTTCAAGGTCTGCTTTCCATCTTATTGTAACTTTAATATAATTGATTTGTTTAAGTAGAAGTATGTTTAATAATACTGTATGTGGTTAATTATTATAAATAAATATTAAAATAATGACATCATTTTGGCTATTTTGCAGAAGTGCTTCAACACAAGATTATGCCTAGTACAGTACTGGTGGTTTTCAGAGTCTAGAAAGTGATGACATCGTACTCCCAGATGGGGGGAAAGAGACAGTTTTTTCTTTTGATTACATTGTACTTTGTGATGAAATATCAAACTAATAAATTTGCAAATATTGAACGTGATCTTTTCCATCAATTGCTTGACCCAAGAACTCACTTTATTACAATAAAAATGTACAACATCATTTTAAAATATGTATTAAACATCATTGGACTATAGAAAGTTGTGATGAAACCCAGCAATTATTTGGTTCCAGAAAGGACATTTGTACTTGATTAAAAACATTTCAACAAAAACAATTTCCACACAGCCAGACTATTATTGACATGGTGGTGTTGATTCCAAATGTGCAAAAGGGCACCATTTAAATACTTACAATACGCAGTGCTTGAGTACAGAAAGGTAACCCAGGGGTGTAATGATGTGTGGTCTTCAGTCAATTGTCCATTGAGCCTATGCAGTGACAGTGCTTCCAGACAAGGATTTCCTGGTCAGAGTTGTGTGGGGTTACCAATAGGCCAGACAACAAGACTGGGAAACTCTGTAGCACATAGTAAAAGTGCCATTTTAAGAAAACAGTATCCACAAGCACTGCATATTTCAGCTAATTATACATCATAAACCAAGTGAAACAGCTGCTATTCTGGATTGAAACATTTTGTAACAGCAGCCGAACATAATTTGGCACAAGGTTTGGGCATAAAGAGTGTTTACACTTCATTGATTTGCTTAATCTTGTTGTGGTGTAACGGCTGTCAGTTATTGAAGAAACCTGGCGAGATTCTGTTAAGATGTTGGAATGTGCCATATTTTAATTTTCTTTTTCTTTTTTCATTCTTTGCATGAAAACTCTGAATACTTAGATGAAGTAGGCCATGGACATCTGAGTACTTCATATCCTTCAACAATATAAATGTTATACAAATCAGACATAGCAGAGAAGTGGGAGAGTAAAAACAGTTTGTTGCTGCCCTGAGGCCCCTGTACATTTCTTCACACACAGTTTGACCAAACACATAACAGGCCACGCTGTCTGCATCTGTGGAGCTGGCCACACTCTAGGTTCCCACACACAAACAATCCCAGTGTCTGTGACAAAACAGCTGTGAGCCACTATAATATCAAACCTCCAAATGGGTCGAGCACATTATTATGAAAAATGGGTGGCAGTGTTTGTACACACTGCCGCCATTTTGTAATCTCATTAAAACAATAGTTGAATCCAGACCCCCCTCCAAAGGCAGTGATAAGTGTAGACATAACCATACAAGAAACTTGTAAACTTGTATATGAATGTAGAGGTTGCTGAAATTAATGTAAGGATACATTTAAGGTATCAATTATTGTCCTTACATAAATGTCTCCTCTGCATGTCATCTATCTTTCAATGCCGATGTGACAATTTGACAGGAACAGTGAACACTGCAATGCCCGCCCAGGGAATCATCTCTAGACTGAGTGAGTGAGATCAGGTCAGGATTTGATAGAATGGCAGGCGGATTTTACCTGCATATTTTGAGTTCTTAAGGGTTAACAACTGAAAATATAATTGTCATATGAATTATGGTAATATTGGTGCTTATCAGTTTGCTTCTGTGTTACAACAAATAGTGCTGCTTTACTTATGAATGTACAAAATACTATGAAATCTTTAAATCATTCTGATTTTATTTTATTACAATCTGTCTTTATAGCTGATGTTATGTCCCCTATATCCAACAAGGGACACAACGTGTATAAAACAATCCTTGAGGCAAGGTTGGTTTGGCAAACTTTTTATTTTTTCAGCCAAACATTCAACAAAGTGCACAAAAAAACAAACAAAAGGTTGGAGGAGGCGTGGGCCAGTTGTGCCAAATCAACAAACAAAAAGGTATACCAAAACAGGCCCTAACTGAAAACTAGGCTACAAAAAGGAAAGAAATCAAAAAGCCTACCTAGCCTACCTGATCTAGAAAAGAGAATTTGGAAAAATCAAAACAACAAGGGTGGCAACAACTGATATCTAGTGTGTCTAACAACAAAAATCTACATGATGTGAATGTACAGGGATCCCCAAACTTACCTAACCAATCCTCCCAACCAAACAAACCTGGGCTAGCAGCCTTACACATGGACAGAGAGAGAGAAAGAGGCAGCACACAGCTCATTTTAAACAGCCCTCTCCACCCTGATTGGCAGCTAGCTGGCCAATCAGCTCCAGTTCAGGTCCCACCCACAGCACCTGAACACACAGGGCAGAGGAGAGAGCAGTACACCAACCAAAAAAATGCTTGCATATAACAGCTGAAAAGGAAATTGTATATGGAGTGTGTCATAGTTAATAGATCCATGAAGTCCTTCTGGGACCTTTCCACCTGTAGATGGACTCCTCTGTCCGAGTGCAGAAACCACAGACAGTCCCACGTGAACGCTGCATTTCTTCAGAACAATCCCTGATAAGGCTTTTGTGAATCATACACAGCACAGTGTTATTCTGGCCTGCCAACATTCTTTCATCTGTCTGTCGGAAAAGCTCCCATTCCCAGCCAATGTGTCTTCTGGGAATGCATGTTGAAAATAATTATTGGTATTTTGGTCTTTTTATTTTCTTCCTACAAACCAATAATGATAATAATAATATAGTCTGTCCAAAGATTTTATATTTTGGTCAGTAGAAACTGAATTACAAGTAAGTTAGGACTACAAATGAAAAGTCTTCTTGACTAATTCTGGCAGAAAATGTAAAGAAATAGCCACTGTCTCCAAAATAAAGAGGTCTCAGATATTTAACCCTCAGTTAAATAACAGCTAAATGCCAATTACCTACTTACTCCAAATCCATATTTTATTAGCTTTTTTTACTCAGGAGCCTTTTTTCCCATCTATGCTGATAAACGTGGATGATGCAGACTGTGCAAGAATGGCTACACACAAACGGCCTACCAGAAGTGCAAAGTACTTTTGTTGTTTACAAAGGATAAAAATTGTTTCTTGCACCACACGAAAAGTGATGTTGTTCTGCCACTGTAAAGCACTGTTACACTGTGCTTTATGCTTTCATTGTTATGAAAAGTGGTATACACATAAAGTTAGTGTTCAGTCTTCAGTGTTAATTTACCACACCGGACCAATGTCCAAATCTGAAACATCCCAGAACGCAATGGATGTGAAGGTCTCTCTCAAAAAAAAAGTCAGGATTGTATATTACCCATATGATAATTTTCCCCAAATATCAGATTTTTTTCCTGTTACTAAAATTTAATTTGAGCCTGAGAGGGTTAAAAGACATGATTTTGTCTCTGTAAGACAATGCATTTTCAAACATCATATAATAAATATCTGTTTATAGTTTTAATGCCACATGTTGACCTGATAAATATACAATCACGTATATTAGGCATATCTTTGATTAGAGACAATACAAAAAAAAAAAAAAAAAAAAAAAAAAAAAAAAGTTGTGTTTTCTCTGATAAGGTCAAATGTTAATAATAAATGTTATTTCAAGAGCATTGTCTGCAATTCATAAATAGTAACAGTTATAGCCATGGTTTGAAGTTGATGTTTTTCTTTTCTTTTAAAGCTATTTCCTAATTTTCACCTTTCTTTCCAAACTTCAAAAGCAGATTGAAGCTGTGTCATATTTTAACAGAGAGACAGCAAGAATCTTGGGGGAAAACAGCCAGTTATATCTGAGTGGCAGATGAGGGATATCCACTCCATCTTTAGAGATTTCATTACTGCACATTGATCCCTTTGTTTATTAAACTCCACGTTGTCGCGTTATTGAACAGTGACACTGCACTGTGCGCCTCACTGCGCCCGGGTTGGCGTGCACGGAGAGATTTGAGGCGTGGAAATATGCTTGACAGCTGTGCAGAGAGCGTATGCAGCTGCTGAGCTTGAGGGGAATCTGCAGGCCTTTTCATCACATATTTTTACTAGTAAAGACACATTCTTATATTCCGACAGGACGACGTGGGTCTCATTAAACCACCTCAAACACAAACACGCCCCGTTCCCAATCAGATTCGAAATGCCACTTTACATTTTCTATGGCTCACTGCGTCTCACATTCCCTGTCAGCATTATGAACGCAATGTAATTGTGTGTGTAACTGCTGCCGGGGGATCTGCTGCTACTGACTAAACTTTTTAAGGTGACCTCTGAAAAGGGTAAATCATATTGTGAAATGCTGCCATCTAGTGACTATAGCAATTCGTGACCATGATTTATAATGAATACAATGCACCAAAAGATGATAGTACATTGATAGTACAGTACACTGTTTACTTTTGGGCAATTTTTATTTGACAATTTGTACATCCGCAAGTCTTCTATAAATTAGTGTTGATCTTTTGTTGCTAACCATTCCCTCCAAACATCATTGTGTGAAACTTACAGCAGATGAGGACAGGTCTGCCTATATAATAAGAATTTATAGACGTTTTTGTTTCAGTTTATACAGAAAATCTACAAAAATGAAGTGTACGGTGTCTTGGAGGCTACAGTACCCTCTTCATCCACTTGGTGATGCTGTCCTAACACCACAGCATTCATCTTCCGCTGCACTTAACTGAAAACGCTGGATGAATAAAATATCACGCAACCATTTTCCATGCGTTGTGCACTGAAAGTCAATAACCCAGGTAAAAGGCTCATTTTTCTTAAGTGCCACAGTCACACCAAGTGAGCTGAGGAGAAGAATAAACAACTGATACTGAGGCGGGCAAACTTTGAGCAATTAAAACTGAGCGAGTGTGGAGAAGTATCCCAAGAGTGAAACTTGGAGTTTTATATTTTTGATCAGTCAGTTGTTAAACCATGTCGTGTAAAGTCACAGAGCATAAAGATGGATGCTTATAGTAACATACACAGCATCTGGTAACATGCCATTGGCTGTAATTGCCTCTGTGTAATGTTCTGCTCATAAAAGCAGCAATACATACTAATAGCAGTAACACAGTCATGTTCAAAGTGCAGCCTAGAGACCAATCCTGGCGCTGTACGCAGATTTATGTGGTCCTGTCTTTCTCTGATAATTGCAGTTTGGCCAGTGGTCATGCATTGTCCCCAGTGCTTTGTTTGTACAATAATGTCTACAAATTTCACGGATTCCAGTGTTAATATACCTCAATAAGGCAAAACATTATAACTGGCAGGTCAAGTCAAGGCAAGGCAAGTTTATTTGTATAGCACAATTCGTACACAAAGTAATTCAAAGTGCTTTACAGAATAAGAAATACAATAAAATCACAAAAAACAAAAAAACTAATCAAAACATAAATAATCATAACATTTAAAAGAGAGAGAGAGCTGAAGTTAATAGTACACAATATTCTCAGAATTATTATAGTATGTAGAATTTTCATAAAAAATGTACATGAAGGATTTTTCAACATGACCTATCATGTGTAACATGATGTGAGATACACATGTTCACATCAGTTTTTTTTTTTCCGATATCATTTGTAATGATGATTTATTCTTAATAACAAAAACATTGTATATGATGGTTGTTGATGTTGTCATTTGATGTTTTGGTTCTCAAGCTGAACATCCAGTCAGCGAGAATAAGTCTCACATTAGTTGGGTGGACTGTTCCTACAACTAAAACAAGTTGGTTTAACCTAAAAGACCTTCATGATCTGAATGTTGACTACCTAAAACCCCGTAACTACAGCCAATCGTTAAGGGGGCTAATGCAACCTCCACAGCTCAGAGAGTCAAGCAGCAGCCCTTTCACATGACATATGGCCTGTCCATATACTGAGAACAAGAAAATGTTTCTGTGTGGACTATACTGTATGCAGGTTAGAGCACTGTCCATCCAGATTCAGTTGTGATTATAGGTCTGTTTTTTAAAACAGTATCTTTAAATTCTCCAAATAAATGAGTAATCAAGTAAATGAGTAAATGATATGATTAGCTTTGGTCTGCACTCTGGGAACTGTGGGCAGGTGACACCCATAGAGAGTAAAGGGAAGTATAAAACACACATTTATTGAATTGCATAATGTATTATTCATAGATTAGTAAATTACATTTTTAAATGCCTTGATCTAAAATGTGCAGGTCTTTGAAAGAGCTCCTTTTAAGCTTGATGGACACAACAATCTCATTATTATTACTGTTAAAGTCTTGCCCAAAGCAATGGCTGTCATGGTGGGCTATCCTCCACACTCATCAATACGTCGTGTCTGCTGTCAGAGCCAGAGGCTGGGCATGCGGAGGAAGAAACTCCAGAATTACACTAATTCAGTGGATTATACACAGTCACATATGCAGCTGGTGGGAAGGGAAAGCCATGTTTGAAATCCACATTAAAATATCATGTGATTTTGAAGAGAAATGTAAGTAAATGCAACAGTTATTGAGATAAGAGCCCGAACAACACAGCACATACATATACTTTAGATCTTCTCCAAATGACTTTACTGCTCATTATATAAAGGGCTCTTTCGTAAATGACCTGGGAAAAGTGGCAATCTTTCATGAACGTTACACTTTGTCTAAATGAGCAATCAGCTGTATTGATGTACACACTCTGTTTAGTACAAAGCTCTACAAATGAGCACAACATCTAACACCATTCAAGGCAATTTAGTCAAGTCAAACATATGGCACAGCAAGGTGATGCTGGTTTCTTAAAGCTACAATGAAGAAGCTGCTCATAATACAAACTCAGTTCTACCCCCAACCAAGGTGTAGATAATTCTACTTGACAGTAGCCTAAGTATTACTCCAGGGCTTATATCTTCATTAACTAGTAACTGGTAAAGGTGACAGCCCTTTATGAATAATATACGTTTATGTATGAGATATTCATTATTTATACTTTATGATGATTTAATCTTGAATGCATTTATGGTAATTAGCTATGACACTGTCAAACTATGAATGGCTTGTCATATACATGCAAACATACAATCGGTTTAAAATATGAAACACATATTTTTCAGTTTAGACAAGCAGAGGTGATATTATTAGATTACAGTCATTTATATTATGAGTAAAAGAAATGACTTCAGTTTAGGGTAAGGTCCTTGTGGAGAGCACTGAACAGCTGGATAAGCACACTGCCCCAGGCCTGTTGAGAGAGTTCTGTGTCCAGGTGAGCCACAGTCTGACTAATGTACACCAGCGTCAACACAGTCCTCTGGTAGTCGTCCCAGTGCAGGGGGACACTCCGGTGGGACAACAGCTCCACCACACGCCTCACCTCAGACAGAGTCTTGGGTAGAATGTCCTCACAGATCACCTCCAGCTTCTTCACCTGTCTGAGGGAGGCCAGCTCCTCATCGGGGACAAACAACTGGTGGTCTTCACTATCAATCTGTGTCCCAGCCAGCAGGATCTGGAGGAGCAATGAGGTGATTATAAAACATCAACATCCATTCTAGCATCAATATGAAGAGAAATGCAAATAGTCAAGGAAGTTTGATCAACAAACTTTAGCCACTTTCACCCATCATAACTGGTATGAGAGTTGGTTTGTTTTTTGTTATCAGAGAAGCTTAGACACTTGTATAGTGAAGTGACGATGGTAGAGAAGCTGAGGTGGCTCTCAGTTCTGCTGCTGTAGTGGAGAAGGGGCCGAGTAGGCTTGTTTGACATAAATTAAAGGCAGAATCATAGAAGGGGGAAAAGTGCATATTATATATCAGTATCTTGGGGAACGCTTCAACTTCCTTTGACTTCCACCTCGCATTATATGACAAAAGCAGTTGATAACTATCCTTCAACACCTACAAAATGGGACTAAATGAGAATCTGTTCTGACCTCAAACAGTAGGTCCACGTCCTCCTGAGAGCGCTGGAATGTGGGGTTGAGCAGAGAATATGTCCCCCTCTTTATCCTGTATGCTGAGGGATACAGAGCTGGACACACAAGAACAGGAAATTTAATTAAAGGGCCACACATACATTGATACGAGGCTACACATTATTCAGACACATGCTGGTGGGCCGGGTCGAGTCAGCATAGATAGATTACTGTTTAAATATTCTTTATCTTGGATTGAATTGGGCTCCGGCTGTGTGCAGGGCAATTGCAGTTTGACCTCAGATGCTTTGCACACAGGCGAGACATGTGCTGTGGAGGGAGATGCAGACTTAAGCTGGTCAGACTTGAGGCTGATTGAGCACTAGAGCAGGACATGAGTTCCTATGATACACGTGGACGGAAGGCAGTTGCTCTGGTCCGCACTGAGCTGATGCTGTCAACTCATTTTAATGATACAATCTCACAGCACCCATATTTACTGGGGCAATCCCGCAGGCAATTCCACACGGACACACTCTGGTATTACGGGATAAGAGCAGAGTGTATTTACAATTTTACACATATTGGAGTTTTTACAAATGTAATTTTAGAATAATTGTTAATTTGAATTTATTATTTTGTGAAGCATATTTACTTAATCTATTCAGAAATATAAATAAAAGTTCCATATGCACAAAGTAAGTTATTTAATATAGGTCAAGCGCTTGACAAAATATTTAGTAAATCCATGCTTAGGTTAGTTGAATTCTTTCCTAATATACCACTGATTTAAGGAACACTATTCTTTATTTGTCCAGTGCATTTGACTCATCCGACCATAGGTTCATGGTTAGAAGTACCTAGTTGGACTCTTTTACATTTTAAGTTACAAGTTGATGGGGAAAACTAGACCCAAAGGAAAACCACGCCTACACAAGGGGCAAGATTCAAACTCCACGCAGCTCCTCACCTCAGACCCAGGTCTACAGGGGTACAAAAGGATGCATTGCAACCTCATTTTAAATAGCTGGCACATTCATTTTAGGTTAGTGTGTGATAATGACACTTTATGAAGGAGTATTGTCTTTCTAGTCCCTTAAAACCCAAATGTATCCTCAGCTGGTCTGGTCTGAACCATGCCCTAACCATAGCTACCGACGCATTTTAGATTAGTCTTAATGTCATTTGATTTTGATCTGGGCTTGATGTGACTTGTATTAGATTTTGATTTGACTGGTGACAAAACACTACCATTGACTGAGAAGCTTCAAAAGAAGTGAGGAATATCCCAACTCTACAGACGATGCACCTTTTTTGTCTGTGCACACAGCAACTTTGCTGAAAAAATGGCACTGAAAAGGCAGCGAGGTCATAGGAAGAAAACAAGTCTATCTGCAACTGCCTCTGCTCGCTGTGAATTGTGCACATTTAGATTTCCAGATTAATTTGGTGACAGAGCTCAGAAGTGTAAGGTGAGAAGCACAGCTGATTAGAGCAGACAGGAGAATCGAGGCACAACAAAGATAAATAAAACCTCACTTTCCCCCAAATCTCCCCCAAAATATATACTGTTTTTCCACTGTTTTGTGCACTGTGAGTCTCTCCCTTGGCCGGGACTGTACTCCAGTGAGCAGATCACACACACAGATCTTAATGAGCTGTGCTATGTAAACATCTGAATTTGGATACAGTCACTTGACCATGCTGCTGCGTCCACACTACACTGGATGGCTTTCAGGTAATGACCAAACCCTCGAATCCTCCTCCTTGATACATTTAGCTTTATGACATTTGTGAAGTCAACCATAGCCAAAAACGCGCTGGCCTCTTTCACTGTGTACGTGCTCTCCGCTCGGGTGCTCTTGATGACAGCCAGTCTGAGCTCCAGCTTTGCCTCTTGTCCAGACGCCATTAGGAAATTGGGTGAGTTAATCTAATCCTTTGCTTTCACAAAATTGGGCCATAATTACTCCCATAATAGTTAAAAACAATACAGAAAATTATTACTTTATATTGTTACTGTAGAAATTGGCTATCAAAAGGACATTGGCCTCTGCCAAGACTTGGAAACAAGACATTTTGTAGATGAGATTTCTATATATCAACGGGTAAAAACAAACTTCATGTGTCATTTTAATATTACTATTTATCATAATTTTTTTTGCCTCTGCCTTCAGTGAACTGCTCTCTGCACCTGTACTGTTCTGTGCTTGGTTGCCTACCAATCTGAGCCCCAGTTTTTCCTCGAGACACTATAAAAAATTTCAATAAAAACGATGCAATTCTGGGTGATTTTGTGTAATCTGCCACCATCACCATCAGCACCTCTTCAACCTGCCCAAACTTATAAAGACTTCAAATGAGGTCGCAAGTTCACCTCCCCAAAGAATACAAGTGAAAATTCCTATGTGTTTTCCTAGTTGTCATGGTGCATCTTCTGAAAGTGAAGCTAATTCCAGGTGAAAATGTGCCTCTGTCTATTAGTGTCACACACAAAAGAGCATCCTGACTGCATTGAAATTTACACTGCTCATTAACTCCCCATCATCAGCGGTGAAAAGGATGCTCAGGCAGCATAATAGATCCCTGGGAACAAGCAACAATATTTCAACATGAGGGCCGAGAGTTTGTATGTGTCTACAACTTTCCAAATATCTAAAACTCTTCTGTTAATGCACAGTACACCTCACAGTTTTTGTTGTTCTGCTTTGTTGAATAAAAAAAAAAAGGTGAGGTGTGGAGCTGTCAAAATTGTACTAAACTAAAATAAATAAATCAATAAAAATGGGGTTGCATTTGGTGTAAAACTACTCAAGTGAACAACTATTAGGATGTAAGGGTATTGCTGGGTTTAAGATGACATCACAAGATTTTATGGGCCCGTAATATCGAATACTGTGGAAGCAAAAAATAATATTGTTAAAATGTAGATTTTACTGTCTCTGCATTTATATAGTCACTGACAGAACTGATCAGATTCAACATTTGTGAATTCACCTTTTAGATGTTTCATGCCAAAGTACGATGTTATCAGACTGGCTCTTGCCCCCATGTGGGAGTATGACATAATAACATCAGAAGAAATATAATCTCAAAACTACCAACTGATACTTTGCAGCCGATGTCATCAACATTCTCTGGAGATGTGGTGCTAACTGCTCTGTCTGAAGCTCTGATATTCAAGTTAGACTAATATGCGCTTTATTTTAAAACAATCTGATCATAAAGAGCTGACTTAGCCAGTGTCCTGATGATTTGAGCTACCTAATGCTACTGTGCATGCTTACTAACCCCAAGCTCTGTTACAGTATAAACGCCGTCGATTTGAGCTCCCGAGGCAGAAGTGGAGTAACAAGTAATATTTTAAAACTGTATTGGTTTTAAATGGTAAATGTTCATATTTTTCTATAGTGCTTTTCCACACTGAAAGCACTTTACAACAAGGAATCACGCACCCATTCACACACCTGTGTACGCAGATACTGGGGGTGAGGTGGGTTAAGTGTCTTGCCCAAGGACACAATGACAGTATTCATCTGTTGTGGGAGCTGGAATCACACCAGCCAACCTGTGTGGGCAACGACATGTAGGTTTGCGGCAGAATACCTACGTTAGATGACTGAATAGTTTGGATTTAATATTTGATTTTATTGTTATCATTTTCATTACATAATATTGTATTTTATTTTCATGTGTAGAATTGTTTCAAACTTTGTACAGAAAGACACTGTATAAATAAGATATCACTATATTATAACAGGAAATTCATGCTGTAGCCTATGATATTTATTTAATATAAATATTTTAGTGTTTCCAGTCATGTCTTTCTCTTACATAGTGGGAGCCTTATTTGATAGAAGATATAGGCCTGTCGAAATGAGCTACCTCTACCCAAATTCATCTAAATGAGTGAATAATGGTGATTCTACAGTGGGAGCATTATTCGATAGCTAAATTGGCCTGTCAGTATGTGCTACCTTTAGTCGGAGCCCTATTTGAGCATAATACGACTGTCCAAATGAACTACCTATGCTGAAATTGTACATAACTAAGGTATAAAGTCTGATCACTGTGTGCAAACAGCATCTAACCTGCTGTCTCTAATCCAAAGAATTATGTTGTAAAACTGGGGAGGTCAGTGTCAGGGTTTGGCTTTATTGGATCTATACAACTGTACTGGAAAAATGTAAAGTATCTTATTTTGACTGGGCAGCGTGAATCGATAGACGTCACTGTCGATTTAGGTTGCGGGTAGCTCATTTCAACAGAACACCGGAACTACTAGGTGAGCTGATTTGTGCTGTTAAACAAGCCCCTCTCACATAACATCACAATCATCTGCAAGCAAAAAAAAAATCAACACCCCAATCTAAACTATGAAAGCTTGTGTTGATTACAAGCTCACAAAAATTTGCTGTTTAAATTCATTATGTTTTTTTTTTTTTTGAGTTTTCAAACTTATTAAACATTTTTGACTATATTTTAATGTGTGTATACATGTAGAAACCTCCCAGCATGATGCCACTGTAAATTATCATGTAAATACTCAATACGTATTTAATTACAGTATTGCCAACCTTAGATTAACCACAATAAGTTAAAATAACCCTCCATACACCTCCATACAGCTCCTATAGGAAAGAAGCTGCACATCTCGGGATTACTTGCCTGATTTACATGTAAAATTTATTATAAGCAATTTAGGGGGAAATTATGCCTGAGCTTGCAACATTACGAGTGTAGTTCCAGTGATGTGTTATATGTTTATAGCAGGCTGCAACAGAATCATTGCAGGTTTTTTATGAGCCACCTGGGTGCAGTGGAAAACAGAGAATCAAGCCATGTGGTTTACGATAGGCCTACAATGCAGTTAAAACAGGTTACATTGTGTTGATGCAGCGGTATACATTACAAATACAGGTGGTCCATGATGCATTATAAATATGTTAGAACATGTTACATAGTTCATTGGTCACGTGTATACGCTAGATGAATGCAAGGCAAAGGAAGCAAACTCAGTGAATTGTCCATTTGAAAATCTGGCTTGGAGAAAGTGGAAAAAGTGGGTGGAGGATGCAAAGAGATTTGATGTAAACATGGATCATTTCACTGGTGTTAATCTGGTTTGGTGAGGAAGGGTACAAGGGTGAGGCTGGGAATTCAAATGAATGTATGTGATAAAAATTTTTTTGCTTTTGACAAGAGTCCCACTGTTACTCATGTTGGAAAATTAAGGTGCACTATATAACATTTCTGGTGCAAGGTCTGCCACAGTGTGCACAAATTTATCCATCATTTACTCAATTAGAGTTGATTTTATTGCTTAAAAAGACCTTGAAAAGCATGCATTCTTACTGTGAGCATGCAAGCCTGCTTCTTTTCAGATCTAGTGTTTAACTGAATTTGGTGGGCGTCACTTGCTTGTCTCCATGGAGATAGATAAGTTAAATGCTAAACTTGGAACATTCCAGGCAAAGTTATCTCCACCGAGACAACCGACATTCACCAGAAAAGTTACTTTATGCCCCTTCAAGCTTCTCTTTGGGAGTGAGCACGATAGATAAGATTAGAAATGCTTGCTATAGGACAGAAAGGGGAAAAAAAAGCAAAAGATAAGAATTCAAAAGGAAACTGATTATTTGTTTGGTGAGAAACACACCAAACAACTTTGAGTTTGCTAACTGTGGTAAGTACATAAGATGAGACAAGCTAGTATTATCTGGCTTTTGTTTATTTGCTTGTCTAATTAGGCAAACACATCCTCATATTGTTGCCATTAAAATCGGATCATCTGTTGTTTGAGGAATACAACTGCTGTTTGATTAGAGCAGGATGTTATGGCAATAGTCCCATGTGTGCTAGAAAACAAACCCAAGGTGACATAAGCCCAATTGCCTTTTTGAGTTTTTTTGTTGTTGTTGTTGTCTTCAGTAACACTCATGCATTGCCTATCACTGCAGTAAAGCTGGTCTTATCCACTCCAAACACTCAGCTTTAGGATGGACTATGCTTGCTTTCATTATGTCAGCCAGAGAACTTGTAATCTCTGGGTAACACCTCAAAGACGACGGAACAACAAACATCCATTAATTAGAAAGGGCTAAACAGTGCTGCTGGCCACATAGATGTGATCATTATATCAGGAGGAGTCAAAGCACACACACACAGACACACAGACACACAGACACACATGTACTGCATATGTATAGATGAGCCTCTTGTATTGACTGACCTTCACTGTTTATTATTCATAACATTGACTGGTATTGTTAAAACACACAGTGAGATAGCTTGCAGACATATCAATACAAAATGCATCCATTTACAGTAATCACATTCTTCTCTCCAGTGGCTTGTATACTGACTAGGGATGTAACAATAACCAATATATTGTGATACTGTATCGTTAAAGTTCTACAATCTCTTACAAATCTCTTTGCTTAAATTAAGTTATGGTGCAGCAATAGCTCAAAAAAAGACAGAGGGAACTACATAGACCATGATCCTTTTTCAGTGCAGACTACAAGAATAAGAGAATAAATAAATAAGAATAAATAAATGTTCTAAGCACTTTTAAGTCTTAACTCGTTGAATTAAGTCTTGTCAAGGCATTTTAAGAGGAAAAGGTAGCATATTAACAGTTTTATTAGGCTCCACAAAATAGCACAATAAATATCTTACTGTGAGATGTATATCGCAAAAACCAAGAGATTTGAATATCGTTACATCCCTAATCATGAGCCACCCCACCATATTGTGAGCTTTCCCATGATATTACAATAAATATTGTACCGTGAGGTTCATACTATGACGATATTGTATTGTGAGACCTGGATATCGTTATACCCCTAATACTGACAGTACTTTATGTAAGACATTTCTACTGGCAATATTTTCCCCATTTTAAATATATATTTTAACAGCCTGAGGTCATGTTTACTCCCATTTCATAGATATCTTTCCCCCCGTTTAGCCCAGTGTCACTGTGGGTTTAATCCGAGCCAGATCATGTAAAGTGAGTACAGTCCTCCAGCTAAGGTAGATCCTGACCAATCCTCACTCAAAACCTGGAGGAGGATCCCCAGGCACTGCACTATGGCTCAAAGCTCCTGACAGGTTGCCCATGTGACACTGAAGGACAAATATCCCTGCGGGGTCAATAAAATCCAATTATTCCAATAGCATATGTTTTGTCCAGCAAACAGCAAAACTTCAGTTTAATTTAGCTTTAAAGTGGAGACCCTTTCTGACACCATTCTCATATGTATAGATCAACTGGGTCAACACCAGACACCGTATATATAAATGGACATAGTTAGCCACTGCGTTCCAAATAGGAAGTGACCATGGCTCCATCGACATTGAAAATTTGTCACCCCGCTCTCTGTAACTGCTGCAGTGAGCCTGGTCATTTTGGTCTTAAAATATTTGTATGGACCCACTCCACATGATCTTGGTGTTTTTATTTATCTGTTTTGTATGTAAATTGATTCCTATTCCTTATATGGAAGTGTCTCTAACTTGACCTCTGTAACTGCTAGCACTGTGAGCTTCATTTGACTGGAGCCGAACACCATGGGTGACAGTACACACCCTTAGTCCATTTCTTTATACAGTCAACAAAAGTAATGCACGTTTGTGGCTTTGTTTGCCAGGACTACATTAAATACATGCAAATAATGTGGGTATACCTTGGTGGTGAGTACACAGCAGTACTTACTTGGATCCCAACCTGGAGTTGTGTGACATAAGGTCATGTAGTCCAGACTGTGAATGCAAAGCCATATGAACAACATATAAACACCAGTCTATCCATATTTACATTGCACGATCCATAGATTTTATCAGTGGAATATTTAACTAGTTATAGAAATGCAGCCCAGGCTCCTCTTATAGTGCTCTATTTTAAAATGCATTTTGGAGACTGTCATTTGCAGCTACTTTGGCGCGACACAGAGCAGCTCTGTCAGTCGTGTCTGACAGGAAGTGTGGGGGCTCATGATTTAGGACTCAGGATGTGCAATATCTCACCCAGGTTTGTTACAGGCGGTTAGCGCTCAAAAATAACGACGGAAATGATAGGGAAGATTGGGAGAGGTTATTTCAGTCAAAGTTATGGTAAAATATGTAGGCTATGTATCAGATGGATGTCTGAGCTTTGTTGTACTGTCTAGATAAAATTCAAAATGATATTGATGAGTTTTTATAACTGAATTCAAGACAAGGTCTAAGGGGATGGAGATATATACTCAGGAACACACTGACTTGTGTGGTTCCAGGAGGCCATTGGATGCAACAATATCCAGAAAAACATTTTAGTTTAGTTTAATACAAAAAGGTTTGGTATTCATACAATTTACTGTGAATGACATCTTTAAGCCTATTATTTTTGCCGTCAGATTTTTTGTGTGCATTTTTTTCCTAATTTGATTTGAATAATGGTTTGAGTATTATTTATTTTTTATTCCGTCCTCGGACCACACTGACTAACCCTGTATATTTAACTTATCAGAGCTTTTCAGGCTGTGTGTGCTGAGAAAGGAATTTCCTGACTGAATAGATCCAGAAACAGCAAACCCAAAGTCTTTCACAGGAAAATGAGATGCTGCTATTACTCCCATTTCTCCCGCTGAACACATTTTCTCTGTAATAAGCGAGCGCGTAATCCAGCCAACTCTCTAATCATGTAATTGTGTTTGTAAAAATGGCTGTTAAATGACTCAAACTAACTAAAATTACTCAATAGTTTAAAGAGCATATGATAGGTTAGAAAACTCATTTAACTAAAATATAATTAAAGGTGCACTGTGCAACTTTTCTGGTGGAGGCCATGGAGATGTTATTGCTTTCCCTTGAATGTTCCATGTATGACTTTAAACATATTTGTCTAGCATTTATTCATTATGGGTGTTTCTATTGCTCAAACATAAAATAATTCCTTCTGTGAATAGGGGTGACTCTCCATAGATCTGAATTTTATAATAACATTGTGCTTGTCTCCCTTATGATAGATATGTTTAATCTACATTGTGGAACATTCTAGACAAAGAATGTCTTCATTTCCATGAAGACAAGCAGGTGGCGGACCCTCCATTCGAAATGTTACACAGTGCACCTTTAACATAATTGTATTAAAATTTTACTACAAATTTAGAGACGTTTACTTCCTGGTTGGACATGGACAGCAGATGTGACATTAAATCACATCCATAACTGTTACCTAGCAACCATAATGTTAAGTACCAAAACGTGCTCAGCGTGTTATGATTAGATTAATAAAAATAAATGACAACACGTTTATTTTGTTAAATGACGTTTTAAATTGTCAGAGAAATGATTTTATTCTGCGTAAATTGTCACTGCATTTTTGATGGAATTTTCTTTGTTGATACATAATCTAGAGGTATTCTGTCTTTATTCAAATCTTTTCTCCTCCCACAACCTACCTTTTAAATGATGTCAAAGTATAATCAATATTTACTACAGGTACTAACCAATTCATAATCAGAAAAACGTGAGAACATGTCCTATGCACTTTAAATGTGAAAGATCACACATACCTCTGCTGAAGCGCTGGGCCACTGAACAGACAAACAAATGCAAAAGAAGCCAAATATAAAAGTTAATTCTGGCCATCGTTATATTGTCATCCTAATTTTTCTCTAGTTTTCTGAAAAAGGTAGAACTTCAAAAATAACCCCTGTCAACTCTAATTTAGTAACTCTTCTTTGCACCCATTCTGTCAGTGTCTTCGCATATCCATTGTCCCATTCTCTGTGTCAGAATCTCCTCGGGCCACACTGTCAGTCCAACATCACATCTGGAAGTCATCAAGATTTTTGGGCCGTGCTGCTTGGCTCTTCACGGGACATTCCCTGAGCTACTGGCTGACAACTCTACTTGTGTGCTGGGCAGTTCAGTTCAGTATGGGAGTGAGTCCTCTCTAACTAACTGGGTAAATGGCAGGGACAGTCTCAGAGCCAGACAAATGACTGCAGGCACAATGGGGCTCAGTGTCCACAAGTGTCAAAATCAGGCTGGTGCAAGAGATACATGTCCAGTATATGCTTTGCTCAAAACAATGGAATGGACTAGCATTAATGGAATTACCAAATTTAGCTTTTCCTAATTTCGTAAAATATGTGAATACAGTAGATTACAAAGTAAATTACAAACAATTCAGTGAATATTGTAACCATGGACATGTAATGTAAATAATAGACTGGCATATCACAATAATTATAACTTATAGTTAAAATAACCTAGAACTTGGGCTCAATATTTGTACTTTTTCTTTGTACCAGTGGGGAATTTTTGGTAATAATATTGTAAGCCTATATTTAGAAAATGGTTCAGTGGAACTATCCTGCTCTGTTAGTGGCATAAAATAGTTTCAATATAAGCATTTTCTGTGTGATAGTGGCACAGTGGTTAGAGCAGCAGTCCCCTTCAGAGGGGCAGATAAGCACACATAGGCAGTCTCGCGTCTGTCAGTCTGCCCCATGGCAGCAGTGACTACAATAGAATCTTACCACCAGTAAGTGAGGATAAATAATCCAGTGGCTCTTTGGGTGTCTTGAAAGGTGCTATATAAATCCAAAGCATTATATCGCCCTTCAGAATTCCTTACTGTGACGGGTCTAATAGAAAATAGCCCAGCAAAGACTAAACCACCAAAACAATTTGGTATGTTATGACAAGATCAAGCTGTATCTCTGAATCTCTCAAAAATTGTCAAACAAAAGACAATATGAGACAAGTGAGTCAGCAAGAGCAAGGTTCAATCTGATCCATTTAAGTGACTGAAGCTGGAATGTAGTTTGAGAGTAGTAGTTTATGATCCAAAGGCTCTGTTGTTTGCAGGACAGGGTGCATTCTGGCTACATGTTATTCATGGACTTCAGAAAAAAAATGTCAGAAAAAGGACTTTGTGAGGACTTTTCCACATTAAAAAGATATATTATTTTGATTGCTATAACAACAAAGAACCCTTCCCATAACTTGAAGCCCATGAAGAACCAAGTTCTACAACCCTCCTCTGGAACCTCCCCACCAGAGCAGCAGATTTTATAACAATTCTGCTTCTCAGTGTCTTTCCCTTCCTCATCACCTGTTGTGGGACAGTTGAGGGAGACATTTAAGACTCATCTATAAATATCCTTTTGATGTATCCTACTTTGCCATTTGACAATTTCTCTTGACTAAATCTGCATTAAAGTTTCTTATCAAGAGTTATATTATTCTGCTGTTCTAATAATTAAAAACAAGTTCTTCTGGGTCAGTGCAATATACATTCTTTTACTTGTTCATTTGAAAGCATGGCAGTTTGCAATGCTAGAACTCCCTCCTGTACTTTGAAAAAAAATACCATGTAATTAAAAACCACAGCATCAATCACTTAGTTATGGGACACTTAACACTGTCAGGGAATGTGCTGATGATCACCAGCATCGATAAAATGAAAGAGAAATGTATCAGCACCAGTACTATAAACAACATGAGACAATAAAAGCAAGTATCATTAAACAAACAAGAGTAAAACAAAACAAAGAAGGTGAATGCAACATTTCATGAGAAACATTGGTAACACTTTAGACTACCCACATTTTATTTAGACTTAATAAAACATGAACAAATAGTTTATTTCTACTGAAATAATAGTTTAATAGGCTTAGTAACTACTGTTAGGACCCATATTACACTATTTTGTGATCCCTTTTCAAAATAGTTTGAAAAACAGACCTGGAATTGTGTTTTGTTTCATTCACACATGTTTAACACACAAACCCACCTTGTAATGTCATGTGGTAATACAGGAAGTGCTCCACTGTGTTTTTAAACTTTATACACTTCACTAGAATTATTTGGAGAATTTCAGCCCTGGAATTTCCAGTCTCTACTGAACTAAAGGTAAAAGGGGTTGTTAACTCAAAAACTACCACTACATGACATCACAAGGTGGAAAAGAGCATTTTGAGCTTTGGAGATGTAGACAGACTAATAATAAGGCATTACTCAGACATATGTAAATGAAACAAAGCACAACTAGGTTTGTTTTTGAGCACGTGGCTTAAAGCTTTCGAGAGTCAGTCTTGTGTAATATGGGACTTTTAATGAATGGCCTAACCCCATAATAAAATAAGTTACTAAACCTCATTCAATATTTTATAATAATTTGTGCATATTTCATTATGGCTAATTATGGTATAGTTATTATTAGAAGTCCTGTATTATGCAAAATTAACAATTTCAGAATGTTACATCTGCAAATCTCAAAATGCTGTTTTCCACCTTGTGATGTAGTGGTATTTTCAAATCTATCCTTTACCTTTCGTTCAATAGTGATTGGCAATTCCAGGGCAGAAATGAGTGAAGGTGTCCCTGTATTACTACATGATATCACAAAGTAGAACAGGGTGTTTTCTGTTTCACTCAGCCTAGATATGCAGGGTTTGTGTGTTAAACATGTGAATATAACAAAACACAACTCCAAGTATGTTTTTGATGAGGAAACAGCAGTAAATAGCATAATATGGCCCCTTAAGTGGTACACACTTAAGGGGCCATTAACATCTTTATACAAGTTTTTACAATTTTCTATTTACTTATAGGTAGAGATTTTGTACTGTTTTTGTTCTGTTGCCTTGAATGTAGCTGTTTTCCCTGTGTCTGCCCTGTCAACCATTTACCCCAAACCCATAAAAACAACAACAACAGCAGCACCAGCACAGGCAAAGAGCGCTGACACAGGCAGCAGGCCACACTCTGTCAGCGATTTGTGAGAAAGGTGACGCTTGATTCAACATTTAGAACAATAACACATGCCACATACCGTTTTGGGCCTA